GGGACTGTAATTGTCAAGTTAAAAAGAAGAAGGTGCACCCAAAATATTGAGTATGAAACACAGATTGATTTGATTCTCACTCAGAAATCATCTTTGTCTATTTGTTTACATATTAGGAGTACTTATGTATTATTGCTTAGTGATTTCTTTAATGTATTTAGGTACATTTACTAGGTAGATTTTGACATTTATCAGCTTTAGAAATTTTTGATATCATCATTGTTATGCTAGTTTCCTAGTATGACTGTAATTAGTTCCATATGATGCTACTGACTTAAAGAATATCGTAGATTCTGTTGGACTATCTTCTATCTTCCATTATTTCAAAGCATGGTTCTAACTTTCTGGTTTATTCTCTATTTGCTTTCATTTATGATTGTTCTATTTCTTAAATCTCTGATGCTTTCCCTACTCTAGTTCTGAGAATAAATCATAGTTGTTCCCCAAGTAGGACGCAGATTCTTTGTACTGAAAAGAAGATTTAAAGGATATCATCCATGAAAATGAAAACTGTTTATAAGATTTAGTACCTCTAGCATGCCAAAACAACCAAAACATAAAGAAAAAACAGTAGTCAAGAAAAGGTTCTCCTCTTTTCACTAATTTTCTTCACATGATCATAGACCAAAACCTTTCTAGATTTAGAACCCTTACAAGTACTTACAGAATGCATATATGTGTCTCTCCTGCTTTTTCAGCTAATGCAATAGAAATCCTCTCTCCTTTTTGTTCATTGCAACATGATCATTTTCAATCAAAATTACAGGAAATAATTCACCAAGAACATCCCTTGCCTGCAATCACATTGGTTCTGGTTTTTACTATGCATCCTGCAAATCATGAGTCCCTGATACGTGAAGCATTCTCCTCATAGATCAGATCCTGTATGGTTACAATATGTATCAAGGTGAGACAGTGAGTCTTAAAGGAATTTCACTTTCCTTTGACGAATTCGGTCTCTCAAGTACTTTCTCTGCTGTTGTGGGATTATGAGAATTCTCTGTTTCATCTTTGCTCGAATGTGCTTCGATATCTGCATCTGTATCATTGTTATTACCATTATTATTATTGTTGTCATTGTTCTGCATGACATGAATTCCAGCAAAATGAACATGGCGATCGCCCTTGGGAGATTGCATAGGCGATAATGGGGACGATGCAGGTACATCATTAAAGGCAGAATCTTTAGGCGTCCGGGGGCTGCAAGCAGGTGGTGTAATTGATTTTGTAGGGTGGTTGTTACGGCTGGGAAGTTGATGAGAAGCGAATTGGTTGGCTGTGCAACATGGTTTGAAGCACCTGTAAACATAAGCCATTAACCAAAACACCCAGGGGATGCATACAAAAATCATCCCCACAACAGGATACCAAGAAGGTCCTCCATCGGGGAGGGTGATGGAGAGGGAAAGGAAGACGCCACCGGTAACAATGCAGAAGAGAAAAAGGAAAGAGGCAATGCAGATTCTTGGATCTCCTTCCCTTTCTTCCATTTATTTACTTGAAGAGATTCTTTGTTTTCCTTGTTCCTGATCTTGATTATGCTTTGTTTTTTTTTTTTGTTTTTTTTTTTTTTCTTGTTTGGTTCTTGGTGAAATCGGGTGTTTGGATCTGAGGTCTGCAAATCCTATCAAGATGGAAACATTCAAAGTTAGAGAGTAACATAAATAGCAATGAAACAGGAATATGCTTTCTGAGAAATAGCCGTTTGGTTACTTCTGTCTATTTGTGTTTTAAGGCAATGACTCTAACAAATTAACAAACTAACCAACCCAACTAATAAATTTTAGGAGAGACAAACCAACAGCTATGTTTTATTAACTTAAAAATTTATTGTATTGTTTAATTATTATTATTCTTAATATTAATATAAAAATATAATTAAAGAATTTATTTTATGTGGAAATAATTGTAATTATAATTATAGTTTATAAATACAATATCATGCAAAGTACATCAAATGCATTATGGATATTCATCAATGTCTTTTTAACTGTCATTATCAAATAAGAAAATCAAATTATTTTTATGTAAAAGTTATAAATACACAGAATTTATCTAATAAATAGGTTCTGCATGTGCTTCTATGGTTACAATAGAATGTTTCATGTAAGGCTTTATGTAAAAAGATTAAAATAATAATAATAATAATAATTATTAATGTCCATTGTAAAATGAGATTTTAATTACTTGACATTGAGTATTAAGAGATACATTATTATATATATTTACTATTTTTGAATGTAAAACATATATACTTGTTACAGAGAGATAAATGTATGGTAAAAAAGAAAAAATAATTACAAATATAATATTTAAACTATTTATGGGATAAATAAATGGGTAACTATTATTAGATCTTCTATAGTCTGTGAAATGAAGTCATTATTGTCAGTTGGAATAGCATGCTTGATTTAGTCAAAATGGGTAACTGCTACATGATAAATATTAATGAAGCATATTTTAATTTTATCAAAAATATTTGTTCTAGTGGTGTTTTGTGGTATACAACAATGTCATTTATACATTATTTTAAGATATTAATTATCAATTTTTATTTTATGCATACATTTACTATTTTTAAGTATTCTGATATTCTGTTATACTCAGTTCCACTTCAATTTAAGAATCCTTACTTTCCTCTTCCTCGAACTACCAAATATAATGCAAGTTAGTCCAACCATTAGGTGCTTTAAGCTTTAAGATTTTATTAAAAAGGAGTGATTATTTGTAAGAAGCTCAAAAACGTAAATTAATTAGATAAAAAAGTAATTACAAAAAGTTAAAAAGTACTATACAGATGAACTAAAAGAAAGAACTTAAACTTCCTTTCTAACTGCTGTAGGTAAATATCAGATAGCAATCCTTCCCTTCCTAGAGAAAGGATAATCCACTAAAAACTACCCCTTTTGATACCTTTGGATTTATTCCCAATTTCTAAATTCTTCACATAGTAACCCTTCAAATGCATGGTTACCACCCATCTAGGAATGAGATCTGCTCTTTGCTAATCTCCCACCGAAGCAAACAGTTTCCACCAAATCGGAAAACGGCCGTGTATTTATAGGCATCAATGCACTTTAACATTGACATCCTTTGCTTGGATCTCTCAGCTGGGGCTATCAGTTCAGCAAGCACTGCCCAAAAGTTAATCAAAAGTTCAAATTGTCTACCTCCTTTGCTCCTGGCTTCAGCCCAGAAGAGATCCATCAAGTACATCAAGTGTGCCAATTACGTTCTTAGCCTAATTTTTGGGTCCCCATAGCAATGCAGCGCACATAATCATCCCTACAACCCACAAAAATTCGACCACCAATCATCACAGGTGAAGAGAATATTTCTCCTGGGAGTTCTAACCTTGAAATTTCTTGCACTACGTCATCTTTGTGGTCATTTGCCTTTCCCATTAAATCCAAGTTGATACGAAGCAAGTATATGGTTCCAGAACTGGTGCATACACAAACCAACCTGCAAATTCATTGAACTGCTGCGTTATATGAAGATCTTAGTTTGGAAGTTATTTGTGCATTATGCTTTACCTGTCAGCTGACAGGCTGGGATTGGATATCAACGGTAAGTTCTCATCAACAAAAGCAGATGAAGTAATTGGATCTCCAACATTGTACTCCCAAAGTAAATCACCTTTTTCGTGAAGCGACCAACAATTTTTAGAAGGCCATATAAGAAGTTGGTACGGAAGGAACAGCCAACACTAAAGAAAATTTCTGAATGGCAAAGGACCAACTAAAGAATCTGCCGGACTAGCAGAAAAGATGATTAACACTCAGATTAGAAGCACCATTAATTAATGTCTCAAAAACATCATTAACATAGAAGTTCAAAAAGCAACTAAAAGGACCTTTAAGAATTCGGTAAAAGGTTATTTCACTGGGATCAGAAGCAATCTGCTGATTGTCTGACATTTCTTATTGCTAACTGTTAGCAGACCAAGGGGACATCCTGTAGGAATTCTGAAGTAGAAACAGGACAATCTTAGAAAATATATGTTTTAATATTCTAAGGTATTTGTTATTATAATCATTCATGTATTATTAAATCTATTTTAGCTTACTGAGAATGTATTAAGAATAGCTTTATCATTAGATGACGTTTGGATTTTGCACTCCAATGACACATTGCTTTATGTTAGAAAAGTGTTCGGATGCATGATTTTTTAATTTTTTTTATCTTTCAAGATGTTAAGAAGCTAAAATGTGGAGGATGAGTTATTCTCCGCATGTGCATTCTTTCTCCTCTTATCTTAGTAGTATTTTTCTTTTTATTTATCCAAAAAAAGACTTTAATAAGCTGTAAACTGAAAAATTAACAAATGATAAAGAAAAAATGGACAATAAGTTGTTAGTTTAATTAGAAAGCTGAGTAAGATTAATATCTTGCTTTTATTAAGGCTGTCTTAGTAAAAAGTATTGGTTAATGAGCTTTTAATTTTCACTTAAAGCTCCAAAAATAAAAGTTAATCTACACAGGCTATTATTATTATACTCAAAGCCATGTGTTTAGTCCTTCTAAATTATAACCAAACATTTTGAAATTTTTTTTAATCAAAATCAACTTTATGCATCTGTTAGAAAAAAAAAGCAAGTCCACTGAAACACCCTATTAGAATATGATTTTTGTTTCTTAATAAAAACAACTTTTATTTTTGTTTTTTTGAAAAAAAATAATTCAAGCATTCTAGTCATAAAAAGTCGATTTGACACTATAACATCCGAACCCGAAAATTTGGTTCGGGATAGTTTTTCAATTAATAAAATAATATATTAAAATAATTTAATTTTTATTCTATTTTAACTTTGTAAAATTTTTAAGAAAAATAAATTTAGAGATAAAATTAAAAATAATTATTTTTTAAAAAAAGAAACTGTGAATGAAGGGAGACGCTTTTGAAAGAAAAATTCAAAACATGGTGTAAAATCGTAAAAAGAGAAAATCCGACCATGTGGGACGACCACATCAGCGGCGACGACGACGAGTCGGAACGCGCCGCGTGGTGGACACGCTGACATTGATTCCACGCGGGAGGCCACACAGGCGATCCGCATACCTGGGCGATTCCACGGTCCAGATCGCATCCCGTGCGCGCGAACGACACAGATCTGTTTTCTCTTCAAACGCGATCGGACGGATGAGATTAATCGTGATGGACGACCCTGATTTGCACGCGTGATCGGCCTAAACAGGCAACGATCGAGCAGTTCTTCTCGCTTCACGTTGACTCGAACGGATGACCTGGATCGAATAGAGATGAATATTTAAACTTCTTTTCACAGGAAACTAAAACCCTATCTGACAGAGAGGTGACTGGAGAAGAAGAAGAAGGGCAACCGGAAAGTGAACCAGACGCTGGAGAAGGAGACGGACTACTGTCGCCGCCGCATCGGAGCCACCATCGACACCGAAAAGGTAAGATTTTCCTCCCCTCAACTCGGAATTTAATCCTGAATCTTCCTATACCCATATTGGAGTCAAAAGGCCGACGGGTGAGCCAAAAAATACGAGTGAAGGTCGGTCGAGCCGCCGCGGCCAAAATCCAAAACCCCCTTTGTTCCCACGTTTTTTCAACTGTTGTGTTCCTCATTTCGTTCTAATGCAGGTTAGTCGAAGAAATACCCCGACCGCAAAGGAGAAACGGCAGAGCTGCTGCCGACCAACAGAAGCTCCCTAACATGGTTTTTGCAGGTTTCCATGCAAAACCGGCCTTAACCGACCAGAAACAGCCAGCGCGAGAGGAACCGCCGCCATGGACGGCGGAGCACGGTGGCACCGCCGTGCTGGAACCCTAAATTGGCTGGAAAAGTTTAAAAACACCTATTTTGGCTTTTTGGGGTATTTTTGGATATGTGACGGGTATTTTAATTTCTACAAGAAAAATCCAGGAAACCTAGGGACCGGCAAGAGATGCAGTGAAAAATACGGTGTTTCAAATATCGATTTGAGTTAAGAATTTCTCACATTTTCCCCCATTATGGTAAATTAAAGTTTAATAATCAATAACATTATATTTTGTGAAAATTAAAAAACCTTAAAATTAATTACAAGTCACTAGTGAAGTCGCAACCGATCAGCGTATAATTGCCCTACCTTATTGTTTATTTTGTCGTATACTACCTAAAATACTTATTGTTATATCGTATACTTTAAATTATTAATTTTAATTGCTTTCTTAGTTATTTAGTTTATCTACCTGCGTTGTTTTCATCTGTTGATTTGTTTGCAAATAAATGTTCTAATCATGTTTTCCTAATTTATGTATTGTCTAGTTTTGTGTGACTTACTGTTAATTGGTAAAAATGCAATGTTGGTATGTGATTTGGTGATTGGTTGATGATGAGAATCTATATATAAAAGACTTATCGGGTATCTTAGGGAAGGGTGTACGGACCCGGTACATAAGAAAAATCCTACTGTGAGCATTACCTCAGTCAAACAGAGTTGAGAAGTCCCATACCGGAAGAGGTTGAGAGGTATAATTCACCCTCATACCGGACAAGGTATTGAGGCGGTGATATGTTTGGTGCCCATTATCGGATGAGATATAGGGACGACCGATTAATTCATAACTTGAATATTAGATCCACGCGTAGGAGGGATCCCTATGGACCCCCAAGAGTACTAGTAAGTAAATAAGATTACCAGTTGTTATTACTCATTTGAATATGAAATCACAATGTTATTCGCGTATTGTTTTTATAGGTCGGTTTTGAAAACTTATAAGAGTAAGTATAAAATAACAGTGTTTAAGTTAAATGAGTTTATTTGAAAAGAAATAATTGTTCAATTGATTATTTTATGATTTTTTACCAACTTTTAGGTTTTCGTATCGGCATTAAATGTGATATTTTTACTGAGTTAGTGTAACTCATTCCCTCATTTACACATTTTAGATCAAGAAAATCAAAATCTAAATTCTCAACAACAGAAGAATTGCGAATAGAGGCCACCTCCCGGACCCCATTAAAATTGTCCAGCGGAGGTTAACTCCATAGGATTTCATTTCGTTTTATTTTAATCATTTATTTCATTACTATGAACTACTATAAATGAATATTCCCGTAATTTTATTAGGTATTCTGATTTACTGTATAAGAAATGTAAATATTAAATTCTTAATTGCTTTTGCCTATAATTAATAATTCAATATTTCCATTTCCCTAAACTTTGGGCTTTTACAGATACCTTCCAAAAAAATGGGTTATTCAATATTAAACTATATAGGAATTACACCTATTGATATTTTCTCATTGTTTGAGTGCTTAACAATCATTTTGTTGTGGTTATAATTTTGTTGCCAATCTCTAAGATTGTGATTGTGAATTGATTTTTTTATTTATTTTTTCTATCTTTTCTAAACCTAATATTGATGTGGCTACATGTAACACCCATTATTATTATTATTATTATTATTATTAATTATTAATTTATTTTATTTAGTTTATTTTGTAATTATTGAAATTTTAATTGATATTTTTTTTATTTAATTTAATTTAACGAAAATAAAGATAATAAAAATGATAAAATTGGATAAAAATATTATTTGGATTTAATTGAAATTGATTTTGGAAAAAAGGGGTGAAAATTTAGATTCTGGGGGTATTTTTGAAAAGAAAATCGGAAACTGGAGGTCAAAACGTAATTTAGAAAAGTTGTGCTACGTCAGCAGCCACGTCAGCGGCCCGGTCAGCAGCCCCGGCCAACCAAGACGAGCCGTGTGGCAAGGACACGCTGACCAGGGGATGTGCCACGGGGGCGATCCGCGTGCGCGCGATCGGACGGCCCAGATCCGTTCCCGCGCACACGGACAACCCAGATCAAACGTGCGCACGGACGGCCCAGATTCAATTAGGTACGGACGGCACAGATTGCATCGCGATGAACGGTCCAGATTTAATCCCAATTAAATCGCGATCGAACGACCCAGATTCAATCTTGATGGACGGTCAAGATTAAAAGGCGAAGAGTATAAATACCCCCAACCCACACCTGACCAAAGAAACCCTAACCGCCAGTGCTCGCCGGAGAAGAAGAACCAGTCGCTGGAGGAGCCGGCCGCCGCCAACCGCCGCCGCACCGGGGAAATTTCCGACTGCCGATCGAGGTAATTTTTCTCCCTCTTGCTCGTTTTTCGACGCTGAGTCCGCCCATGGCCAAACCGGAGCCAAACCGCCGGTCAAACGGCCGTAAAACTCAGTCGAAACCCAGCGGCGCCGCTGCGCCCCTCCTCAGTTTTTGCCTCCGATGAGGCCCTTCCCGACCTCCGTTTGATGCAAATTTTATACCACTGTGATCACCGTTCTTTTCTCTACAGGTTGATCGGAGCCAAACATCAAAACGCGACTCACGCCGGAGGAGCCGCCGCACCCGAGAGTACCGGCGCCGGTAAGTTTCGGTTTTTCGCGATTTTTCGGCCCACCGAGGGCCATAGGGTTGTTCTATCGCAGGGACTGATGCAAGTGTGGCCGAATTCGGCCGGAAACGGCCGAAAACGGCCAACCTGAGGCGAATCGCCGCTGCCGTCGCCGGAGTACAGCGGAGCCGCCATGCCGGAATTGCGATATTGGCCGAAAGGGGCCCTATGTCTAATTTGGAATTTTTTTGGGACACGTACAGGTACTAGTAGTGCGTTTCAGCTCCCCGGGAAAAATTCAAGGAAAATTAGGGACAGCCTATAGGTGCACTGGAGAGCCGTATTCAGACTCCGAAACAAGTAAGGACCCCTCACCCTATTTCCTATCACGGTATTAAAGTTCAATAAATGATAAAACGATATTTCATGAATCAATAGATGTGTGAAATTATTTAAGGTCGCTAATGGAGCCCGAGTCTGGTGTATTTGTCGGTTAGTTGTTATTTGTTCTATTTTACAGTTTTAAATGCAGTATAATGTCTGATGTTCTCATTTCATAGTTTCGTGTGCATATATCACTATTTTATTGATTATGGGTTGAATGACTAAGAATCCGATGTTGTGTGTTGTCTTGTTTGGCATAAACTACTGGTTTGCATGTTTGTGTGTGATTTGATGATGGTGACTGAGGAAAAAAGAATAAAAGGTTACGTGAATTAATAAATGGATAATGTGGACAGCTTGACTAGATATCCTGGGAGATGGTGGACGGACCGGGTCCGTAGGGAACCCTACCGGGAACGTGCTCTCTCATACCGGACGGGGTATGGAGACCTTCGGTGTTTTGGCGCCCATACCGGACGGAGTATGGCGACGGCCCGTTTCACCCTCATACCGGACGAGGTATTGAGGTTCATAATTTTGGTGCCCATATCGGACGAGGTATGGGAACGGCTCTGGAATCAGGTTATAAATGTTAAGGGTTCACGGGTAGCGAGACCCCTATGGATCCCCATGGATACTAGTAGGCTGGTAAATAAGGAAAATATGTTGTGTAATGATTGAAATGCAAAGGCGTGGTAAGTATTATTTTATACAGTTCATATGATTTCATGATGATGAAAATATTATTACTTTCGTATGTTGTTTTATGGATCTCACCGAGGTAAGTGGACAGTGAAGGATTTTATTATTAATAAAAGAATTTGTTATAAATTATGCTTCATTGGTCTTTTTGTGTTTTTTACCTACCTTTACCTCCGTGGCGGTGAGATAGTGTGATATTTTTACTGGGCTGGTGTAACTCATTCCTTATTTAACCATTTCAGATCAGGAAGACATTGTTCCCGAGCCCGTTCCGCAGGAAGACGGCGAAGGGGACGCCTAAAGACTCCGTAGTTATATTTATAGTTTTTATTTTCGAGTTTCTCTTTTAGTTAATTTGTTCTTTTATACTTTGAGCACGTTTTTGGTTTTAGCGTAAGGGATGTTAATCAAAATTTTTATTATGCTTCCGCATTTGACATTTTTAATACACATATTTCATTCTAAATTTCCGGGGCCGTTACACTACATCAATTTGGTATAAGAATCAACGTTGCTGATTTTGGTGTCAAATCTCTTAAGTTTCCAAATAAAAAATCCTTAAATTAGCGAAAAACAAAAAAAAAAAATTCAAAATCAAATGGCAATAAGAGAAATAGCAGGGTTGCACAAAAAAAAAAAGGAAAAACAGAAATTGACAAGTTAGAAAAAGTTGTCGGTCTTCTTGGAAGGATGGAATGGGAAGAACTTTACTTAAGTCTGGATGATAAGCAGTCTAATCATCAAAGTGGCATGAGTGAACGTGGCCTATCCTCAAGACCAGGCTTTTTCTATGGTGATCACATACGCACAAAGAATGACAGAGTTTTTGGAAAAAAAGAAAAGGACAAAAGAAGAAAGAATGACAGATAGTTTCTCAAAAAAAAAAAAAGAAAGAAAGAATGAATGCCAGATGGTTGAGATCAAAATAGACATTAGCAATTACAGCATATTCAGAGGTAAAGAATGCTGGAACTTACTGCTTCAAACGAATAGACACTTCCATTTCTGGAGCATACCAGCACCTACCAAGTAAGAAGACAGCAACAAGATTAATATCAATGAATTTTTATTCCTCAAAGACCTAATGATAATATGCTAACTATGGGCTTTAGCTCAAAGAGAAGCAAGGAAAATAGTTTAAATCAGTGGTATAAATTCTTGCATTATGCTCCAACCAAATCAGTAAAAATGCCCCCTCCCCGGAACAAGACCTTATACTCCTTGCCCGCTCAAATTTGAAGGAAAGGGCAGAATAATAATCTCCAGACTAGGGGGATCACCCACACTACTCCGGACACAGAAAAAACTTCACAACCTCCACATTATAAAGGAGTACGGAAACAGGTGACAGCTGCGGTTTGAACTATGAACACACACCAAATGAATGCCGAGAGAATATTCTTTGTGAGATCTTGGACTTTGGAGAATATTATTTGTTTTGATATATACGAAACAACAGTCTAAACAAAACTTTTAGTTTTAGAATGAGCTTCACTATCTAACAGTTATGGAAGAAAACACATATGGGTTTTATGGTTGCCAATGACACATAAGGTTGCCGAGAAACCAAAAAATGACTTTAATATTGTTCTTCTTATTTTGTTGATTGAAGAGTACATTGAACTTATAAGAATATTATTGAAAGAATAGGAAATCCACGAATAGGAACTTAACCATACATAGACCACCAACTACATGGAAAAAAACAAAGAAATATAAAGATGGTCTATTATTCTCTAATGGAGCATAGAAATATTCTCATCTTGAAGTGTGTCTTTTAGCTTACAGCAATCAGTTGCATTGTTACTACCTTTTAGTCTACTCCCTTCTTCATTGAGTCGAACACCACTATTGACCTCAACAGCCTGGAACAATTTTAGACAGGTAGATTCATGTCCCTTCATCATCATGCCCTTGTCTCTCACTTGTTCCACACACGAGCTTGATTTATCCATTGCTCTTAAAAAAAGGTAAACACCATTGTTCCTCTTATCCTATTTCCAATTTTGCTGCTTATGAGCATTACCCTTATCTTATGTTGCATTATTGCCTTATTATCCTCTGTTTTCATTCCCAACTTTGTCAGTGTTTCATCCTAGTTGACACCAACCATGGAAGAGGAGATCTCTGAGTTAAATGTAAATGATACATGGCATTTGATTCATTGGCCTCCCGAGAACTCTGCTGTTTGGTGCCATTGGGTTTATCTAGAAGTAGTCCACTGATCCTCTCAAGGTGCAATCAGTAACCTAGGAGAGTACCTGCCTAAACTAAATCGTTTTTTTCATGTTGCCAAAATGGTATCAACACAAGTGTTTATTTCTTAGGTTGCCTTCTACCACTAGCCCTCCCACCAACTTGATAACAAAGATCCATTTTTTGGGAGATGGAAATTTTCGAGTTGCTATTTGTCCCGTTTAAGATGCAACACATAAAATGAGACTTTTCCCTGAACTTTAATGCTTATGAAAAATGAGAAAAATAAAACAAGATATGAAGTTAGATCTGAAGAAAAATGTTGTACCTGGGAGGGAAGCACATATGACAAGCATGCTCCAGCAAATACTGGACCACCAGTTCTACACTGGATAGGAGAACAATTAGAAAAAGAGATGAGAATTTTCAAAAAACAGTCATCAACTGATATGCAGGAAATTATGTAGGTTGCTAGAAGAATGTAAGAATTGAAAGTAGTGGCAGGAAATCCATAACAAAATAGCCGTTAGTATAGTTGCCATTAGTGTAGTTACAACACTGCTATAAATACCATCTTAACCAGAATAATGAATCAAGAATAGAAAATACCAGTTTTCTTTCCTCTCTGGTCTCTCTCTTATGTGTGAAAAGTTTCTTTTGTCTCTCTCTCACGGTAAATTTCTGTGTGAATCAGTGGTATCAGATTGGATTCAGCTCCATGGAAATCTCTGAAAACACAAAATCTCAAGAATCAAAGAGGATGGAAGAATTAGGGAAGCAGGTGGCAGATATGGAGGAAAGAACAGATCAATAATTGGGAATTCTGAAACAGGATGTAGGAGGAACCAAGCAAGAATTGGGTGAAGTAAAACAATTGTTAGCAACGTTAGTGAGGCAATGGACTGCAGGTCCAGAACATGCCAGGGAAGAAACATCCCGAGAATGGGAAGGAGAAAAGAACGAGTTAAAGGAATGGGACAAGACTATGGCAGTATCAGATTCAAACTCAACTTTCCACGAATCTATGGAGAAAATTTAACAGCATGATTGTACAAAGCAGAACATTACTACGAACTAGATAAGACAAGCCAAGAATTGAAGGTGAAAACAGCATCATTGCATCTGGAGAATAGAGCATTGGAGTGATACCAGATGGTGATAAGAAATAGAGGAGGTCGCTGGCCAGATTGGAGGGAATACATG